TGGGGTTTGGCCGAAAATGGTTAAGTGCATGTGTATGGGAATTGTTTCCATAAGCTCATTAACACACAAACACAATCTAACATCAACCAAATAGGTTTGGGAGATCAAAGAGAGAAAAAGGAGAGTTTTCAAGAGTGAAATACTTTCATTTTTCAAAGTGGTTTAGATTGAAACCAATCTTGAGAATCTTGCACTAGCATCCAAGTATTCTCAAGATACTTCTTCTCATCTCAAGGTTCCATTGGTGTGGAGACTTAGAGGCCATATACTTTTGTGGCTCACATGGAGGAGAAAGATTAAGGAGCAAAGATCAAAGAGGAGATCAACAAAGAGGAAATCATCAAGAGAAGACCAAACACAAATTGGTTCATATAATTGCTTCAAGGGTAATTAGATCTTATCCTTTCTCTTGAATTTTCATTTATGAAAAACATATCAATGTTCATGGCTTAAGATACTTGGAAGAAGTTTTGTTTTTGAATTTAAACAACCACCTTAGACTTCCGCTGCGATTAATTTGATTAAATGCATGTTTAATATTCAAATGAACTTTGAAAAAATGTTTTGAAAATCCTACAAACGCAACATATTTTTACTTGAAGGGAAAACAATATAGTGGCTTTTGGACAATACATATGTTGCACACTTGAAACTAAACTAATCACAAGAACAAAATAAAGATGGAAACAAATGCTTAAGAAAGCCAAATAACTGGTGTCCCAAAGCGACAATGCCATTGCTAGATTTTATGTTTTTCTTTGACACTGCCACTCTTAATGTTATTAGCGACTCCATCATGAACTGCTTCTATCGGTAATTTCAAATAGCATAATCCCCTTATCCTTTTACCATGCCTAATTGTCTAGTGCGTCCTGAGATCCTAGAAAGAACAATGTTTATAATAGAAAGTAGCAAACTCATTAAGTATATCAAGTAATCAGCCAACAAATAAAAAATTACAATGGATATTCGGAACTAGTAACGCACGTGACAAAGACAATCTAGAAGTGAGGGTTATTGTGCCCTTGCCAGTAATTGGAGAGGGTAAGCCATTAGCACTAGTTATATATGGGTCACAAGTTTTACTTGACAAATTATCAAATAATTTAGCATTACATAATTTAGCACCAGTGTCAATTATCCAAGTATTGTAAAAAGTACATGGTACGGAGTCAGAAACACAAAAATTTGTCGACGGCACAGTGGGTTTAGTCTCTCATTGAGTCATAGTGCAAGTAGCCTTGGGGCTACACATATGGGCTTTGTAGTCAACAAACCAGTATGGGTAACCATGTTCTTTAAAATAGTTTCCGGAAAGATGATCACCTCCATAATGAATACACTTGTGGGTTCCTTGGAGGGGACTAGGTTTGGCCGTGGCTGGTTAGTGGTCTAAGAAGGCCTAGGTAGGCGGAAACCAACAAAAGAAGACTGACGACTGGTTGTTGGGGTTTGACCAACTGATCTAGAGCGGGTAGAATTTGCCATCATGGTAGTGGCACTGCAAGCATGGTAGTTGCCGAGTGTTTTCCTCTATCACTATGACATATGCTTCCAAGATAGATGGGACAGGAGTAAGAGCCAAGATTCGATTACGAACTCCATCAAATTGAGGGTCAAGTCCTCTATGAAAATCATAGACTTGATTGATTTCAATTTCTTTATGGCGTCGAGCTACATCACTTGGATTGGTAAGTTCATTTGGGTGCAAACAATCAATCTCTTGCAAAATAACATGTAATTTCTCGTAAAACACATTCAAAGGCTCACCGTTATGACATCTCACATATTGCCGTTAGAATTGAAAGAAACGAGAAGTATTTTGAGTAACAATATAGGTTTTCTTGATAGCCTCCTAGAGAGCAGCATCACATTGCTCAAACAAGGCACACAACTTCTTCGTCATGGAATTGAGAAGCCATGACTACACCAAACAATTGTCTTCTTCCCATTCAACATATTCATTAAAGTCTTCCTTTGGAGCTTCTTCCCATTGATAAATACCGCCATACGACGACCAGTAATCGTAGGGAGTGCACTACGTGACCAAGAGGCATAATTGGATCCATCCAATTTTTTAGGGGTAATAGGGACAAAATAGTCACGAGAGGGTTGATCCTCCTTGGTACTAGAAGCACCAGTAACATCACCCCACCTTTTGAATCATCACCCATGATTATAGCGGAAAAAAAAAAAAAAAAAAAAAAAGAATCCTAAAAGGAAAATTAGGGCACACAACATAAGCAGAGAGAGGGAACAACAAGGTGTGGAAAAACCCTAAAACAAAATAAGGTTCGGCATAGGTTATTGAACAGGTGGGCACGACACACAAGGTTACCAGAAAAGTGCTGCTCTGATACCATGTTGAACAATATGTGGGAATTTTCAGATGATTATTACTCTCCACTTTAGAGGCAATATATATAGTTGACAAGAGTGTTTTACAAGTATACCTAGCTATACAAGGAATCCTAATTACAGCGTGACTAAAATAGAAAATAAAGATAATTCCTAAAATTAAGTCTTATAACTCGGGACAAAGTAGAACATATACTATAATCTAAGAGGCATGAGATCATTAAGTTTAAGTCTTAGAGCTTCCATAATGAGCTCCCTAAACCACCTCAAATTTTAGGGAAGAATTGGAAAAATACCACTCCAACCATACTCCCTATCCACCTCCTAAAATAGGGGGACCTCTAGGAGCTCTTAAATCTGAGGAGAGAGAAAGGACTCCTAGTGGCTCTCTATAATTTAATGTTGCTTTGTTTTATGCATATTTTAAACTTTTAATTAATGCTAACTATTTTTATATATTATATTTTATAGAAATGAACCAATTATATTGAATTAAAATATAATTAGACTATTTATGACTCCCTAAATTAGAGAGTATGATTGGAGTTCAAATTTTATAGAGAACTCCTAAAATAACTTTTGTGTATTTCTAGCTAAATTTTAACTAAAAAATAGGAAGCATAATTATAGATGCTCTTAGTGACTTTTAATGATGCGACTCGTAATTTCAATATATGAGTATGACGGTGTACCAATGTTGGTGCACTCATGCCACTCATATATGCGAAAGGTCACCATTTATGATGGTCATAAAACTCTCAAGAATTATTCTCCATAAAACTTAACCATTGTAGATAATTATGTCATAAATGACTAACCGTGGTAGGCCAAATTTGACCGGAGAAACACCAAGACTTCTTGCCAAATTATTTTACCACTATTATGAATGGTAGATATAATAAATATAGTCATCCAAAACTTATTTTCTTTGTCATGAAGGTGCTGTAAATAATTTGAATTGTAATGACCTATTTCTTGTAGCTATAACTAACGATTGAAATCGTTAAAAATGTTTAAAATTAGAGTGCAGCTAATTGAACCCTAAAATTAACTGAGTACACCCTAAGGTCTAAGTACACCATCCTATTTCAATCAAAATATCAAATTAACTAAGTACACCCTAAGTGACTACCAAAAATACCCTTGGTACACCCTAATACACTCTATCACACAAAATAAAGAAACAAAATCAAAAGCCCTTGGAAAGAAAAAAGAGAACCGTACCCCACCGATAGTTTGGTTCCTCCCGCAACCACAAAGTGAAAGAAACCAAATGCCAAAGTGTTTCATTTAGCTAATAGCTTGTATAGTCTTACCTGCACAAAAACCACAAAATTAATTGAACAAAAAAAATATCCCCACAATTGCAACCACAACCACGTCCCTAGAAAATCATCTTCATGTTTCTTGTACAACATCATTAGTATCCTTGTCTTTATTTTCAATATGTTTCAAACCATCATCTACAATAAGAAATCGCGGAGGCAAGACAATAATTCAAGTTTAGCAGATAAATAGAACAGAGGAATAGCCTCTTACAAGTTTCAAGGCAAGACAATAATTCAACGCAAGAATCAATTCAAGTTCAACGCAGGCCCTTCGAGCATTCAACGACACCTCCTTGCCCCTCCGCCAATGCTAGCTATTTGATTATGGTTGAATATGTAGCAAGTAGGGTGTACTTATTAAAATTACATTTGTTTCACAATTCAATATATTTTTTTTGGTCATTTTATATTAGGGTAAATTAGTAATTCAATAAATAGTTTGGTAGTAGGGTGTACTCAATTAATTTTAGGGTTTGTTTAGCAGCACTCTAAAATTATAGCAACTAGGATACCTAGCTAGTAGCTTTGAATTAATAGATAAACTCTAGGGTTACTAACTATTAAAGAAGGAGACTTTTGGCCCTCCCATCTTTGGTGCCCTAGGATCAACTGAATATCAGCATTTTGTCTTCGACTAAAAACAAAGAGATGATCCCATAGGGGTTGCCTAAAGATATTTGATAGTATAGAATCACTTTTAGTGGTCCATTATAGTGTGAGTACAAGGAACTTTTCCCCTTTACGCAAACCATTTGAAATGGTGAGTCAATTTGAAAGCAGCAAATTCAATCCGATGCAAACCTACCAAATAGCAGAACATGAGGGCAAATTGGCATGTGTACCATCTTCGGAAAAGGGCCTTTGACCTTTCTTTTTTCTTTTGAAAATGAAGTCTATATACCAGTAGCCCCAAGCCCTGAATTAATTTGATTGGATTCCAATTTTCCAGAGTTTTTGTTTTGGAGGACAAAACAGAAGAAAAATGAGGTCATGTTAATAGGTTGAAAGTTGGAAACGCATGCTTGTCTGTGGCAAACGTGCAGAAATATTCTGATTCCTGGATGGTGGTACAATAATTATATATGTAACAACAGGGTATGTGAGGAGGAGAGCAGGTTTCATACCCATGGGCCAACATATCCATGTACCAAAATGTACGGCCCTGATTTGGTTTCCACCAGAGGAAGATGCTTCAAATCATGGGTTTTTGGTTTCCACCAGAGGAAGATCCCCGTGACTTTTTTCTAATGTATAAAATTTGGGGCCAGTTTCATTTTTCATGGGTCAAAAATATATTTTACTCTCTTCTTCACAGTGAAGGGGCCACCACAGAGAACTACGGTTGGATAGAGTGAGAGGGCGCAGTGCTTGGGGAGCAAAGTAAAAAGGTAAGGATCAATTGTAATTAGTGATCAACATCTTACAGTTAACAGAGTTGTAGACGTGCGAGTTGATGTGTGTTGTAGTTGTAGACGTGTCCAGTTTATGCCTCAAGGTTCACACGTGGGACATTCCTCATTTAGGTCTTTTTTTAAAAAAAAAAAATGCCGGTGATATTAGAGTAGAAGGATTGAAACCACGACTCGAATATAAGGATAACTGCTTTTAATCACTTGAGTTACAACCCAATTAGGTCATCATTAAATAGGCAAAAGCCCTATGTCTGAAGATAACAACTAATAGGAATTGTTTTGCAAAACAAAAAAACCTGAGAAAATTTAATCTTTAGTAAGCTTAGAAATCTTATGTTTTTATTTTACTTGTGGTTACAATGCTCATTTTTGGGTAGGCATGGTTTTATGTATAATTAATAGGAAAAACCGAATATGTTGTGTAGTATTGGCTTTCAAGTTTTAACTCAACAGTTTATGTTTCTTTTCTTGTTGGAATTCTGTGAAGCAATGGAAGGTAGCAGCTCAAACAACGTCGAAAATATCTTCCTTCCCGCCCACGGTATCTCCTTTCCCATGGCTCTCTCTCTCTCTCTCTCTCTCTCTCTCTCTCTCTCTTTCATTTCAATATGTTCTATTTTGAAGTTGAAAGAACTTTATAATTATAAACTAAGTACCAATATAATAAAAATATAAATGCAGAAAACTAATTGCCAATATAATAACTTTATATACCAATTGGTTTTTTTTAATTTTTTAAATTTATTTTAAATTTTCAATCTTTTAATTCGATGACTAAAAAGTGCAATGTATCGCAGAAAGACAAACCTTTGTCTTACACTAGGATACAATTGACTCATTACTTTTGGATCTGCTTTGGTAACTTATAACAGATCCAAATGAGTTGCGAAACCGACAGAACGAACTTGAGAAGAAAGAAGCACGGATTCAAGAGCTGAAGAAACAAATTGAACTAACCAAGCTTCATTTGGAGGAGATGAAGAAGAAGTCAGGTGCAAAGGAGAAAATGGAAGCTTTCAATCAGCTGGTTGAGGCATATAACCGCATGAGAGAGGAGTACAATGCATGGTTGGCTGAGAGATCGAGGGACTCCAACAAGTGAACAAGAATTGATTCATTTTCAACCCTCTTTGTCAATATTTTAATTGCAATTAAGTTAATTCGTAGTTAATTCACTTCTATAGGAAGTAATTCTGTAATGTATGAATCAACTTCTATCAATATACTTTGTGCTATGAATTTGAGCTTCACTTGTGCCCATGATTTGAGGACTACAATTAGAATTAGGTCAACAAATTTGATTTAAACATATAGAAAGAAGAGAAGAGAATTGACCAATACACTAAATGACTGCTCTTAATACGAGTACACATATTGGCTAAAACTTTGTTCTTCTCATTGAACCTAATCTGGTATTTGGGTTGTTTATCAGCAGAGAAGAGACCAAAGTGCCTCTCAATTTCTGCAGGACCCTTTTGGTTTTCGTCAAACATGGCAAACAAATAGGTTTCTACAGGTTTTCCACGCCTCTTGGGAGTCCCTCCCTTCACACTGTCAATCAAATTCTTGTAGTAAGTGCTTGCATTTTCAACTGTGGCTCCTTCCCCGCCTTCCGATGGCCAACCGGTCTCTGATACAACGATCTCCACACTCGAACCTCCGGCTTTCTCAAGAGCAGAGTAGAGGGCATCCACAGCTGCAGCAAAGAGATTTGTGTACCCAAATGCACCATCTTGTACTGTCACTCCAGGTGCAGCAAATAAGGCATAGCCAAGGCTGATGTCTTTGGTGTCGCCGATGTAGCTGAAATAAGGGTACACATTGGCAAGAAATGGAGAGCCATTACTTGCAAGGAAGGCAATGATAGGGTTTATGTATGAACTCGCAGCATCACTAAATGAGCCTGTTGATGGTGGATAAGAACTGCCCAACAGAGACATGTCTATGGCTGTTGAAACTTTGATTTGGTCCTGCAAATTGGCAGATGCAATTGCGATTTTAATGTTTATCATGGCTGCTAGAACATATTTTGCTTCTGCATCTTGGGGTTTGATCTCATTTCCAACTGCAATGTACCTAAACTTGACATCAGGAAAGAAGTTTAGGACATTGTTTTGAACCCAAGCAGTGGCAGCTGCAACGTCATTTCCAAGGGACTGGATGTCTTGGTTTCTAACGCCTACGATGAGTTCGATGTTGGATCCTTTCAGGGCTTGGAGAGTTGGAGGATTGGGATCGAAAATTCGCATTCTTGTTATGCCATTTGCTTGGTATAGACTTATAACTTCTGGATCAGGCGGCAGGTTGTTGGCAACCCGACCATAACAAACTCCTATTGACTCTGCACCTATCTCAAATTCAATCAAAACCAAATATGAACTACATCATGTCAGGCTGTGAATGTTTCTCGCATAAGTAGAGCATAAAAACGTTTTGAGCCTAAGAAAACACTTTTGTCTACTTCTACCAAAAGATCGTTTGAGACTATTTCTGGAAGAATCAAAAGTGATTTCTGACAATATACGTTTCTGAAAGAACTTTTAACAACAACGCTTAGGAGCATAAATGCTTCTTACAGAAGTAGTCTTAAACGGACCCTAACTGTTAAGCAAAATGTTTTTCTTGACATTTAGAACCTTTTGTTTTGTTTTTTTTTTCTCTCAGAAGTCCTTAAATATAAACATACATTGAGACATGTAGGAGGGATGTACCTGTTGTTTTGGAGCTCAATGTCAAAAGCCCAAGAAGTAGGAACGCAGAAACCACATATGGTTTGTTAGCTATAATCTCACGAAATGAAGCCATGATGAAAATGATTGGAATAACAAGCCAAGGAATAGATTGGTAACTTTGTATTGCCTTCTTTCACTAACAAATTACTCATATATATAGCAAAAGGGCCTTAGATTAAATTATATATCATGCAAATGTGGGGGGTTCAATTGACTAATCATGCCAGGATTACAAGAGACAGAATATATATCTTCTGATAAAAACTAATTTGTATTTCATTAACGTATTTTAAAGAATAATAATAATGGTTTATATCATGCTAACAGGCTTTAGAATCATAGGGATATTTATGTATTTGGCATGTTAATGCTGAAATATAGAACATTATTGAAACCTTATTTTAACACGCCTATCTTTCTCATTATTTATATAAAATAAAAAATTCTGATAATACCAATGTCGGCCAATGTCCTCCAAAATTGTTGTAAACATAATTATATTATATAATACTTTCGTTATTTTATAAATAAATAAATATTTGACTTTTTCAATGACAATAATTGGGTCAAGTAGCACCAATTTGGTCAATGACAATTTCCACTTTGTTCATGAGTTCAAATTGCATGTATAATAATTGCTAAAATATAAAATTAATAAATGACTTGCCAAGTTTGGTCGATTTGCATCACATGAGGTCTTTACCATCCTTTGGAGAATTTCATAAAACGAGGATAGCACTTGAGTTCCCTCACCTTCTTTAGAAGCTCTACATGATTCGCTTGAAGTGAAATTCTAGTCGAACTTTTTTGGCTCATTTTATTTTTACTTAACTAAATATAAATTTCCTCTGAAAAAAACTAAATATTAATTTCCTCTTTACAACCACCATCAACGACATTTGCTATATAAGTAGCTAATTTCTCTAGCAAGTAATAAGTAGACTACCAGTTCCATATGAATTTGAGACCTTCACTTGTGCGCCCATGTAATTTAATAATTGTTATTCTCATTTATGCAAGAATAATAGTTGGACAACAATTAGGTCAACAAATTTAGGGCCAGTTTGACATTGTTGTGCTGTGAAAATAATCGCTGTCAGATTTGTTGTGAGAGAAATCAGCTGTAAGTTAAAGTAGTTTGGTTTTTGGTAAACTTTTTAGTAAAAGTGTTGTTGGTACTAATTCCCGTATAATCAGAAAATGAAAGCACCTCATTAGGTGCTTTCCATTATAGCTTTCTCTCACAATAATTTTTAACAATAAGTGATTTTCTCATAGTTTAACAAACGGGCTGGGCTTCCCTAATTTTTTTTAAAATTACTTATCACCCCAAATAAGCAATGCCAAACGGGCACTTAATCTAAATATATAGAAACAATAAATAAGAGAAGAGAATTGATCAAAACACTAATTAAATTACTGCTCTTAATACTAGAAGACGTATTGAAAAAAAACTTTCATCTTCTTTTTTCTTTTGACAGATAAAACTTTGCTCTTCCATTGAAACTAATTTGGTACTTGGGTTGTTTATCAGGAGAGAAGAGACCAAATTGTCACTTAGTTTCTGCAGGGCCCTTTTGCTTTTCATCCAACATGGCAAACAAATAAGTTTCTACAGGTTTTCCAGGCTCCGTTCACACTGTCAATAAAATTCTTTTACTAAGTGCTTGCATTTTCAACTATGGCTCCTTCCCTACCTTGGGATAGCCAACCGGTCTTCGATACAACGACTTCCACAGTTGAAACGCTGGATTTCTTGAGAGCAGAGTAGAGAGCACCCACAACTGCAACAAAGAGATTTGTGTACCCAAATGTACCATCTTGTACTGTCACCCCAGGTGCAGAAAATTGTGAAGATATTATTATTAGTTGTTTGAATAATCTCTAAGTTGTAGGAACGTAGTTGTAGAAGTTTATCTTTGACTGTTTCTCTAGCCAGTATCCCATGAGATTGAGATTAGGACTTGTTATTCGTGGGATAATGCTTCAGCTTTTTATGTTGGTTTCAGTTCATGTAAACGCTATATAGCCTAGTTCTTTTATCTTGAATAAACACTATGAGAAAACTTATTCTTCTCAATCATATTCTCAAGCAAAACTTAGTTTAATACCAACAATTGGTATCAGAGCCCCAACTGGCGTAGAGAGAGCATAAGGAAGCTTGCCGTAGTAAGAATTAATGGCAGGAGAAGGAAGTAGCTTCGTGCAACCAGTGATTCCACGCTTCGATGGCCATTATGAACATTGGAACATGTTGATTGAAAACTTCTTGAGGTCCAAGGAATATTGTGGCCCAGTGGAGAATGGAGTCACGCAATATGCAGAGGGTGTAGAGTTAACAGAAGCTCAATTGAAAGCCCCAGAGGATCATAAGCTCAAAGATTTGAAGACCAAGAACTATCTCTTTCAGGCCATTGATACAGCTATATTGGAGACCACCTTGAAGAAAGATATAGCGAAGGATATATGGGATTCAATGAAGAAGAAATATCAAGGCACAACGAAAGTCAAGCGTGTGCCTAACTTTAAGCTCTTCGCAAAGAGTTTGAGATGCTCAATATGAAGGTTGGAGAGTCAGTTGATGAGTATTTTGGAAGGACTCTAATTGTGGCTAACAAGAGGAGGATCAATGGAGAGAAGCTGGAAGATGTAGCTGTTATCTAAAAGATTCTGAGATCAATGACACCAAAGTTTGACTATGTGGTGTGTTTGATTGAAGAATCAAAAGATCTTGATAATCCCTCTATTGATGAACTACAAAGCAGTCTTCTGGTACATGAACAATGGATGAATGGCCATGCAATGGAAGAACAAGCATTGAAGGTGAGCCAAGAGAATCACTCTCCGGGGAGAGGAAGAGGAAGAGGTCGAGGAGGCTTTTGAGGATGTGGAAGAGGACGCCGAGGATCATTTGATAAATCAAATGTGGAGTGTTACTACTGCCATGAAATGGGACACTTTCACTATGAATGTCCCAAAAAGGAGAATGAAAAAAAAGCCAATGTAGCTGAAATTGAAGAAGAGTTGTTGCTGATGGCATATGTGGAAGTCAAGGAAAATCAAATCAACAACACATGGTATTTGGATTCAGGCTGTAGCAATCACATGAGTGGAAACAAGAAGATGTTCACCAAACTTGATGAGAAGTTAAGGGAGAATGTAAAGCTTGGTAATGGTTCAAGCTTAAAAGTACAAGGAAAAGGAGATGTCAAAATTAAAGTCAATGGTGTTGTACAAATCATATCAAGTATGTTCTATGTGCCTGAATTAAGAAGTAATCTAATCAGCCTTGGTCAGCTTCAAGAGAAGGAGTTCGCCATTCTAATTCAAAAGAATCGCTACCAAATTCATCAAAGTTTTAATTATGCATGTTGAAATGGCTTATAATAGAAGGTTTCC